ACGGAGGATGTTTGCGAGGTCCTTTTTCATTCTGTTTATTTATCTCTTACTCTGACAAGAGGGATCGCCTATTGAAGGCGCCTTGGCAGTCGCTCGCCTAATAGTTGCTGACTTTTGGGGTATTTGCGATTTATTCTCCGCCTCAGACAGGTAGAGGGGAAAGGCCTTGTTGGACGGTTGGCAGGCCTGTTCAAACCGCGGCTTGGTGCGGTCCAGCCGTCCGCTCCACTCCACTGCACCATGGCCGCTGCTCAACAGTCTCATTTGCATACGGCTTCGTACGCACACACGGCACGCATTGTCGCGGTGCAGCACTGCATTAACCATGGCGGCCGCAATTAGGAAAAGAACTGGAAACTGAATCTGAATGTGTTGACTGCTGATGGGCCTCCGCGGCTCGGCGGCATGGCGGCGGGCAATTAGGAAAAGGAGTGGAAACTGAATCTGAATGTGTTGACTGCTGATGGGCCTCGGAGGCCCTCGGCAAACAAACTGCAGCGGGACAATGCGGCATTAGCAAATTGGGATGGAAAAATGGGCGCGTTAATTCTACAGTGGCGCACGCATGCAAGATTTATGCCCTGCCGGTGAGAACCAGCGCGTGGCGACGGCCTGTCTCTCTCGCACTCCTACGAGGCGTCCCGGAGAGTGCGACAGAGACACGGGGAAGTCCACGTCGCTTTACAGCGTGCCGGCCGCCCCGCGAGGACCACTTCGAGATCCGTTTCGAGATTCGTTTCGAGATTCGTTTCCTCATCAGGGGGCGCGGTCGAAGCGAGTCGAAGCCCCAGTAGGTCACCTGGGGTCAGACGGTGGCGGGCTGGCGCTAGCCTGGCGCTAGCGTGGCGGGGTCGCGACAGCGGGGTGGGGGCGGGCAGGCGAGAGGCCTAGTCAGCTGGAAACGTGCCAAACTCGGCTCACACGCACACACACACACACACACACGCAAACAAACAAGGCGTGGGGCGAGCACGTTGGTGAACGGCAAGCTGCGCGAAGGGTTAGGAAGGCTGAATTGTTTAACGCGTTAGCCAGTCCGCGACAGTTTCGCGACGGAATTTTCGTCGGCGCTGTCTCTCTTCGCGGCTGCTCCCCACAGTGGGCCAGAAGACCCACGGCACGGCCAGTATCGGGCAGAGATCAGCCTCTCTGACGTTGTTCACCTGGAGTGCCTCACCCTTTTCCCCTCCACGCACGGCTCTGTGAGGACGTCAAATTTGCCTGCAAAAAGTCTGCTGCAAAAACTCGACGTCGCGGTGTGGGGCGCCCCTCAGGCCCCCCATGCCCCGGCCCAGCCTCCGCCAAGGTGACTACTGGCTGCCCCGCATAGTTTCGGCTCCTCCGCCAATAAAAATACACGGCGGCGGCGCCTCCAATCGGATTGCAGCCGCGCTGATTTCATTTCGTGGAGTGGAGAGAGGCTTTCCCTTTCCGTCGCGAAAAGCAAAGAAGAAGAGGGAAATCTGATTTTCCAGGGGTAACTCTTGTCCTCATTCGCGGCCCCCACGAACTCGCGCCCAGTCTTATAAATCACTCAACGTCAACCCTCTTGTTTTACACGGGTAAGCATCCAAACGAGCAGAGGAAAAAATGCCAATGAGAGAGAGAGAGAGAGGTGCGGATGTGTTGCCAGTGCTCTGTGCCGGCCTGCCGGCAGCAGGTTGACTCGGCTAGCAGACGAATTGGATACGTCACGAAATTTAAAGAGTGGGCACCCCTTCCATGAATACGTGCTGATTGCGCGTAAGCACCCCCTGTTGGGTGGTTTCTTCCCCCTCCCCCCTCCCCTCCATTTTTTTTCGTCTCCTTTAACCGGACGCCTGACACCTGCACAGCTCTGCCTCGCGGCTCCGCGCACTTTGAAGGATTTCAGGGGCTATAAAACACTTTGGAAGGTTTTAATTGCACAAGCCGTTCCTTGTACTTTTTTCTCGACCACAAAACTAAAACGTTCGCACAGCGGAGTGCAGCAATTAATTTGGAAAGCGTACCTAATGCAATCAGTACACGAAATTATTGAAATACCCAGCGAGTTGATTAACGCCGCATTTTCTTTTACTTTTTTTTCGCGGTGGAAGGGCTCTTGATGGAAATGATAGAGCCACATCAAAGCTGCGCTTTCATTGCAATTTTGAAGGACAAAAAAAAAAAGGAATGGAAAGAACATTGAGTCGTTCTCTTCGCTTTAAAAAATACGTCCTGCTTGTGACACAGTGCACTGGAAACATGCGGGCGCGACAGGGGACGGCAAAACACACAGGGAAATCGGTTTGGGCTACTACGCGCTGGAACAGGTAAAGAGCCGAAACGGCTCCAAAAATTTGTCACCATTGGCGGAGATCCCACTCGACCTAAGTGCCACGTTACCTGAGGCGCTGTCGTCAAACATGATCAAAATGTTGCTCGTCATGTCAGCGAAAATGCCACACACGTATTAAAAAGAATTAAACAAAAGGCCAGCCTTAATAGAATGAAAAGGGGTTTATAAAGGCTGAATGGGCGGGCTGCCGCTGCGCACCGCACACACACACGCACTCACATGCACACACACACACACACACACACACACACACTCGCAAAGGATGCAACCAGGATTCGGCTCCCCAGGCACACAATAGCCAGGTCATTGTCATGTCTGTGATACCATCATCGCACGTACGCTACATGAGACGCACCCTCCTTCCACGCACTTTTTGCCTCCAAGTTTTCTGCGCCGATGCTGATCACTTCATTTTCAACCCTTTTTTATCGGTATCGATTTTATCGTCTCGGAAGATTTTGCACAGAGTTCGCTGGGCCCGTCAGAATGAACCCGGCTCGTCGGCTACTCGATGTCTCGCTGCTTCTCTCCCGTTTTATCACAAAATGAAAGGGCAAGTTTGGACTGCTCAGTGGAAACGTGGGTGCACTTCTGCGTTCCTCTTATTCTTTCGCCTGCCTAGTTTGAATGGGACCGTAGCGACCCAGGGTGTGTCGTCTTGCAGTGTGGACGGGGAAAGAGTTGACGACAGTGGAAAACTCTCGAGTGGATGGCATCAAAGTGCAGCAGAAAGATGTCACCAGGGAGGCCGCTGTGCTGCTTTCTTCTTCTTCTTCTTCTTCTTCTTCTTCTTCTTCTTCTCTTCTTCTTCTTCTTCTTCTTCTTCTTCTTCTTCTTTTCTTCTTCTTCTTCTTCTTCTTCGTGCACATCGCATTTCGGTTGGCAACATTTAACTAGGCAATAATAAAAGTGAAGCACAATTGTAATTGTCACCCCGTCGCGCTGCCTCGCTCGCATCCCACCCCGCCCTGACCTATCCAGTTACTGAGATTCCCTGGCCGATACGTCGCGAGCAGACGTAACCCGAGACGGGCGTGTTGTGCCAGCCGATGACATTTAAAACGCGGCCCATCAAATTGCTCTTTCACAACTCTCGAATGGAAGTCAGATGAAATCAATTCTTTCATTAATATGTTGTCAGACACGTTCGCGCCGGCAGATCGCGAGGCACCCGCGTGTCCGTTTTCATATTCGGATTCGACATTCATCAAGAGCCCGACAGGTAGGACAACATTCGTGAAAATGATTCAGGTGAAATGCTCTTTCGTTTCAGGCAAGCTTTGCTGCAGATTTGCAAGACAGCAAGCGGTTAGCGCCCCACCGCCGACTGTCCGAAGTGTGACTGCTGGCAGGGGTGTGGCTAGCGGGGGCCGCCCATAGTGCATAGATCGTCAGATAGGAATTAATGTCGTGTAAAAAGAGACGGCAGCGGCATAAAGTAGCAGCCCGTCTTTGCAGTGCTTTGCAGCTCCGATGAAGCGAGTGCCTCTCCTCGGCCGACACTCCGGCACCACAACAAGCCCCGGACAAAGAGCTCGCGTCAAAATCGTTTAATCTCGCCGTGTCACCGGGCACAAGCGCATTATCCTATGAAAGGCCGGCCCTTTGGGTGGTCCAGCTGGATGCGCAATCGCATGAAATCAAGTAACGAATTTCGTAAGACGGCACACTTTTGCCGCCCGGCTCCTCAAGAAAGAGGAGGAAAAGAACCACGCCTGTCTGTTTTATATTTGTCCATTTCTTTGAACGTTCTGCTAGCAGCGTCGCTTTGCCAATCGTCTTTTCTCGCTGTGTGCGTTTGCACACGAAATTGTAATGAGAAGGAAATGCTGACAGTCATGCTCCCGTCATTGCTGCCACGCATGTTGTCTCGTTAGCGCCAAATTATTATTCACCCTTCGCCACCATTACTCATCATCACACCTTTGCGAGGCCTCACGACGGTGCTGCGCGACTTCCTAGCGGTATTAGTTTGCCTCGACTGTGACTCGTCATGAGAAAAAGAAGTCTCTGCATATTTCCTTCAGGTCCCCTTCACTTCTAGAGGCACTACAGCCCCTTTAATTAAAAGCGCGACCACCCAGTCCCGCCTAAAACTTTAACTCTCTGTGTTTCCAGAGCTCAACGGCTCAAAATTGCGATTCATTGTTCATTCATTGTCCATTCATCGTCCATTCATAGTTGTGGGACTCGGCACGCCGTGCGACCGAAACAGAGCGCGGAGGTCCGGAGGTGCAAAACGCGCACAGTCACGGAGTGGTAACGAGCTCGTAACTGCAACGGTTTACGGGTGGATCTTCCCAGACATTTTGACATCTCGGCGCCTGTTGCGTGGCGTTGGACAAAAGGGGATGGAAAGAAAAGTGCGACAAAGTTTCAAAATGCATGTTAAAAATTATTTAATTTTACCATAATTTCTTTTCAACAATCATAAATACATATCCACAAAATATCCATTTGGTTAAACAATATTTGCTCAGCCATTCTCTACCCTGGTACTCCACAGGAAGCACAAATGAATTCTCCATACGCAATAACATTGCGGAAAACGGTACAAAATATACGTCACCCTATCGCTCCCACAATAAATGAGAGAATTAAAATAGAGCACTATTTTCAGAACAGCCATACTTTCCCGTGTGGCGCCAAAGGCATGGCCGGCACAACAACACTACGAACGCTATGACTCGGTGCAAAACAATTCATACTCTATGTACAGTCTTAAACAATTAACAGTAGCTAGCCTAGGATCTCGACGGACTATTATCACAATGTGGGAAGCGAATGCGCTTCGTGAGACTTAACCAGACTTAACGGTGGCTTAGTCGCCGTGCTCGCCGTGCTCCAGCTTGAGCTTGAAGGGCGGCTCGCTGCTGCAACTGCTGTCGGACAGGGGCGCGTCCGCGGGGCTGCCGTCGGCGTGACGGTCGGCGTGGCGGTCGAGGTGGCCGTCGGCGAGGGCGCCGGGGGCCTCCGAGTCCGCCACCTTGGGCTTCTTGGCGGCGCCGCAGCTGCGCAGGCAGCAGCACTTGTCGGCGTGGCCGTGGCCGGCGTGGCCGACGCCCTCGCCCTCCTCCTCCTTCTTGCGCTTGACGCGCCTGTTCTGGAACCAGATCTTGACCTGGTTCTCGCTGAGCCGCAGCGCCGTGGCGATCTGGATGCGCTGCATCCTGGTCAGGTACATGGTGGACGCGAACTGCCTCTCCAGCTCCAGCAGCTGCGTGCTGGTGAAGGCGGTGCGCTTGCGCTTGCTGGAGCCCGGCTCCATGGCGCCGCCCTTCAGGTCCAGCGGCGCGGCGTCGTCTGCGAAAGAGAGAGAGAGGGAGGTGAGTTTGGTGAGTTTGACGGCGCGGCACTCATTCGACGATGTAGCGGCCGGCGGCCTTCATCGGGGCCAGCGGGTCAGGGGGGCCAGGACGCGGAGCGCCGCACCGTCTCGTCCTCGCAGAGGGGTACGCCGTGGAGGAGTGCGCCAGTGCACCAGCACGCCCCAGGGAGCCGCCGCGGGGCCCGAGCGGAGCCCTTTAGGGCAAACCACGCCGCCCTTTCCGAGGACCTTATGGGGCGTGGCCTCATTTTGTCACCGCGTTATCGCCAAGTCGCGCCAACGGCCGCCGCCACGGCCACGACCACCGCGTCAATCCCCGTCGCGATTCACAAACTTCGTACTTCGTCCAAGTCGCGCGGGCGGGTTGGGGCGGGGCCTCGGAGTGACGTCACGTCGCGCACCTGGCCGCGCCGAGGAAACGCCCGGCCAGAGGAACACGTTTTGTTGGCCGGGGTGGCACTGCCGCCGCCCGTGCCCGTGAATCAGACGCACTACGTGACTGCGTCTCGGACGGGGATCTGGGGGGCCGTGAGCGTGTGCGTGCGTGTGTTTGTATATGTGTGTGTGTGAGTATGTGTGTGTGTTTGGGTGTGGGTGCGCGTTCCGTGTTCGCGAAAGCCTCGGAAGGAAGTACGGGGGCAAGGTCACCGGCGCTCCGCGGGGGGGTCATCTCTCTGATAACAGCACGGTTCCGTCCGTCACGGGGCGGGCCTGGGCGGGCCAGCAGGCTGCCTTGGGGCGGGGCGTCGGTCTGTCCCGCTCGCAACCACTGCCGGACGCGCCGTGCGAGCGAGAGAGAGAGCTAGTTCGAAATGAAAGTGCACCGCCGCCTGCTTACTGACCTGTTGGCCTTCGCTGCGGGCTGCTGCTGCCGTGGCTGTGCGGGCTGCGGGGGCTGTGGGGGCTGCCGGGGCTGGCGCTGCGGGGGCTCACGCCCCTGGGCGGCGACGGCGTGGACGCCAGGGGGCTGGGCGGCCGGAGGTGGTCGAAGGAGAGCCTGGTGCTGTCCTTGAGGTGCTGCTGCTGCTGCGGGTGGAGGGGCAGAGCAGGCTGGTGCTGTTGTTGTTGGCGGGGGCGCTGGGGCGGCTGGTGCGCTTGCTGCAGCGCGTGGAGCGTGTAGTCTGCAAACAAGGACGGCAACAGTCAGACAACAGCCGCTATGAACACTTCAAACAGCGATGCAATTTTTCCCGAACGCGGACGGTGGACTCTGAGGACTCCGGGCAGCCCCCTGAAGGGCTCTCGCCTCCGGGGCCTGACCTACTGTGTGACAAGTTAATTCCATTTCCTAACGCCCTCCCGGCCCGGCACCGCGCCCGGAGCCCGAAGCCCGGAGCGCGGAGCGAGCGGAAAACGCCCCTCATTTCTTGAGAGACCGCCTGGCTCCGGGCAGCCCTGGGCGGCAGGGCCTGGCAGGGCCCCAGTCTCGACCCCACGGCCCCAGCCTTCCGCCACTGTAAACAATGGGCCCCCGTCAGGCGTATCTCTCCCGCTAGTGAGTCCACTCCGTCATGTAGCGAAGCACCGCGGCGCCGCGGCAGTGGCCCTGCGTCTTCCGCGAGTCCGTCAAAAAGTCACGAAAAGAGAGGTATAGCACTGTACCGCCCGTGCCGGGCAGCCTATGCATCATAAGACGAACTGAAAACAACAACACGGCTTACCTGTCGGCGCCAGCGGGTGGTGCAGTCCGGGGCGCGCGGCGACGGGGCGCAGCACGCCGCACAGGCCGGAGGGCGCGGGGGCCCCCACCCCCACGCTGCCGTACAGCCCTTGCAGCGAGCCCGCGCCCAGCCCCGCGCCCAGCCCCGCGCCCAGCCCCGCGCCCAGGCCCCACAGGTACGGCGGCAGCTGGTAGGGCGGCAGCGGGCCGGGCCCCGCGGGCCGCGAGATGAGCGAGTCGACGAGGAAGGACCGGGACATGGTAATCCAGAGAGGTGGCACGGCACTGCAAGCTGCGGCGGCAGTCACACCGACATGGCCACACACACACACGCGCACGCACGACGCACACACGGGCACGGACGCGATGCAGCTCGGCTGACCCTTCGTCGATGACGGCTCCCGGCGATCTGAGCTGCTCGACGGTAAAACGAGATTGCAAACGGGTCCGCTGCCGCCGCACCCTCCCTGCCTCGCCCCGCCCCGCCCCGCCTCCCGCACCCCGCACCCTCCCCACCCCTAGTTCTTTTGAGTCAAAAAGTGCGGCAGGCTCCTCCCCCGTGGCACACCCCTATCAATGGGAAGACTCGTGTGGTGCAAGCCTGGTGCAAGCGGCGGAACAGGTCAGACCCTCCCCTCCCCTCGGCCTCCCCTTTCCCCTCATCGCCTCAATCGTTAATCTGTTAAAGTGATATTGGCCCGGCAAATTGGTAAGAAAAGCATGTTTTATTTAAGCGACGTGGCTCCGCTGGACGAAACGGTGCGATCGCGCAGTGTATCATTCATGCGGGCCCGAAACGTGGCCCCGCCAACTTCCGAGCGGCATCGCTGTTTTCCGAAGAGCGACTCGCCGTGGATGCAATTCAATAATTGAGCGGGGAATGACCAACCGCCGCGACGCCGATGGCTGGCGGCAAAAAAAATGTTCGAAAACAAACAAACCGGACGGAGGCGTGGTGACGCAAGGGCTGCCGTGTGTACACTCGATAAATTAGTGTCAGGATCAAACAGGGCTGCAGCCGCGATGAGGCCCGGGCAATAATTTATATCACGTTCGCACACAAGGAACGGGGTGCAGGCCGGGCCGGTGGCCGCGAGGCCGCTCACCCTGTCGGCCATTTTGGTTTCCGTTGTCGCCGCTTTCAGGCTTTCCGCTTTCCGTTTGGAAGTCGTTGCTGCAAATTTCAAAATACTTGCCGAGTATCAAATTACCCGGAGGGGTTGAAGCGCGAAGGTGGGGGCAGTGTAGGGCAGTGACCACGCGCAGCGGCCTGGGAAAGCGGGGTAGGATTTCAAAGTCCGGCGTGTCGGCCCGTCGGCTCCAGGCACGGCACCACGGCAGCAGGCTTACGGTGAAGTCTCTCTCGCACTCATAGGCTCGACTTATGGGTGCGAGAGAGACAGAGCAGTGTTCGCAATCAGTCTGCAGCGACCGCCCATCAAAGATCCCGGTAACTTCCCGGCGGCCGGCCCGGGAGGAGGCCCGGGAGGAAGCCCGGGAGGGGGGAGCCCCCCGGCGAGCGTGGCGTGGCGAGAGCGGGTTCTGCCGGGCTGGCCGGCCACGCGTGGCTCGGCGGCTCCGAACGAAACTCGGTGCGCCATTGGTCGGCGACCGGTGTCGCGACCCTTCCAGCCTTCAACCCCTTTTCCGCGGAACGCCATGGAGGGAGAAGGAACAGACAGACGGACGTATCGAATGAAGGGTGAGCACAGCACGCCCAGAACACGACCCGCCGGGAAAAGGAGACGCACTGCACTCAATCAGCTTCAGCATGCCGCTAATTTCCCCGCCAGCGAGTCAGGGTTCTTTGTTTCCCGCGGGTTGGCCGGCCCGAGTCGCCAGACACAGTCGCCGAACACTTGAGTGGAACGCGCCGCGGCGCGTTTTAAATGCTGGAGCAAACACTCGCGCCAAAAGAGAGAACACGTGGTCTGGACGTGAATGAGCCCGCGAGTATGTGTATCACATTAGCAACACCCACCGCACCTTTGGCCGGCTGGGCTCCGGCGGGCGCGGCAAGACGAGCGCAACTGCGCCGAGGTGCTGCTCAGTTACAGCGACTCGGCGTGCTCGATATTCCAGCCCTTCCAGGCCAGCGAATCGCGCCTAGCGTGTTTGGCGGCGGCAAACACCCAAACACGCGCTACGCCGAGCTACGCGCTACGCGCCGCGTCCCTGCGTGCGGCAGCGATGCACACCGTCTCAGTCAAAGGGGCCGCTGCACCGGTTGTATCAACAGGCAGACGCGCACAGACAGGCAAACAAAAATATCAGCCCCACTAAAAATGTATTTGCTTAATGGCTAAAGCCTTACCTAGGTTTGTTGCTAAAAAAGATCTCTTTATTTTTCATTCATTCTGCTCCCCACTCAAAGCTGGATGAAAAAGTTGCGCTGGGAACGCAAATCGGTGCGCCCCAATTTTTGTGCGTTTCGTTTTTGGAACTTATCAAAATAAACTCTGTTAATTAAGCATCGTGCGGACTTGCGGACGCAAATAACCAGCGAGGGGAGGACGCGCTGCAGTGGAGCGGCGCGGGCTGCTGCTTTTATCGGGAAACGAAATGTGCGTAATTGGAGATTTGTCCGGCGGGAAAGTACACTGTGCAGGGCAGCCTGTCCCTTCTTAATCTCAATTTATTGCGAATGCCTTCTGTGTGCAAAGGTAAATACTTTTTTCTCTCGGAGACAGCGGACAGCGCAGCCCTGTCCGCGGCGTGTCACGTGTACGCCCGGCCGGCCCAGCTCACCTTCTCCAGCACCCTCGTTACTGGGTATAGAACGTGTTCACACGACGACTTCCCTGACGAGGAGGCGGTGCGTTCGCAAGGCATGACTCCGTCTCCGTGTCGAATGCTCCTCCCATTTAAAGAGGACAAAATACGCTTCGCTGAACTGAAGCAGCAGCGCAAGGAAGCGAGCAGCAGCAGCAGCCCACCTCCGGGCCTCAGTAGTAAGGGAGGGGGTTTCTTACTACTCACGACCGTGAGACTGAGCAATGGCGAGCACTTGACTTTTCGCCCGGCAGAATGTTGCGCCAATCTAGACGAAACCCAGAGGCGAAGCGAAACCCGGAACCCTGGCCAGGGCCGCCAGGGCCGCCAGGGCCGCCAGGGCGAAGCCATTGCCGTGCCGAGCTTTCCCGATTCACGCAGTTTGTTTCTGCCCGGCCGGGCCTATCTCCTCAGTGCCTCCGATTCCGCGATTGGCCCCGCACCGTATCTACACTGGAGACAAACCGACGAGGCTTATTTCTGCTATATTTCCTTCAGTGAAGCTCGTTTTCTCAAAGGGGCTGAAAACTGGATTTTTGCTTCCCACTGACTTGCACCATTTTCTAGCGTTGTAGATTAGCACCTTTGGAGCGGCACGACGAGCTCCTTGTTGAAGTCAGCGTCCCGCCTCGAAACACAATGCATGTGCGCCAGGTAACACGCTGTTGATAGACACACTGCGGGTCCATAAACTGCACTGCTTTGCGCTTCCCTTACCTGGCGCGCCAGGCGGTCCACCTGCCGCTCCTTCGCACCGCCTTCATTCAAAACAGTGTCGTTGCGCCACGCAACAACAACAACAAATGTCTTTCAAGTCGCCGACTGCCGACTGCCCCGCCTCCCGCACGCCCCCACCGAATTCCCTTTTTACCCAGGAATGTTCATTCTCGATGAAAAACGCGCGCGCGCAACAGCCGTCAAATCGGGCTCGCGTGTCACAACATTGTTGAGGTTGGCAACAGCGTTTTGGCGCGAGACTCAACCCGTCCCGTGGCTGAGGCTGAGTAGTGGGCGGACAGCTTCTCGGCGCCAAGCCGTCTGTCAGGCGGGCGAGGCGGGCAGGGTGGGGGTGGCGCGCCTGGCGCGCCCCATTCGACTGTTTTGTTTCGTCAGACGAGTTCGGCCGCCGGGCCTGACCGGGCCTGGTTTTATTGCGGCCTTGTTATATTGTTACCGTTCCTTTGTCGAAAACGTTCGTTCAAGTGTTGTCGCCGTCCTTCTTTTGTCTCGGCTGCCCTCCGTATTCGCACCGCGCGGCGGTATTTGCGCGACAAACGCGACAGGGGCCCGGCAGGCCCCACGCCCCACGCCTCCGGGCTCCCACGCCGCGCCCCCTCCCTGACGACATTTCCATGCAAAGAGTTCGTCAAAGCCCCCGAATCCGCGCGTTTCGCCGCCAACTAACTGAACTACCCGCGCGCCGCCGCGCGCCCGGCACCCCGAACGCCCTCGGCCACCCTTAGGCCCGTCCCGTCCAGGATGATGACAAAGGCTTTCACTCTCGGTTTACTGCTGCCGCCAGCTGTGACGCGCGGCCAGATTTTCCAGCCCCCTTTTCACGAAATGGAGCCTGGAGCGCGGAGAGGAGGCGGGGGCTTGCACGGCAGAAAATGCCGCCATGCCGGTGGCGCGTTGCTGGCAGTTCTCCGGGACGCGGCCGCGCCCAGATTCCGATTCGAGCGCGAAATTCCCCGATTTCACGCCGCCGCAAAATGAGGTTGAATGATGGCCCGGCCTTTGAGGACGACAAAGGCACAATATTTGTATTGGTTTGTCCCGCCGCTCGTCCTGCCGCTTCCAGCGCGGCGTCTCGCTCCCTCTCGTGCCGCGACTAGCCACGACGAGGGGCGCGCGCGAAGTAACGAAGTAACGGTCAGAGGGGAGGGAGGTTGAGGTTAGGTCTGCCGGCTGGTTCCGAACAGGGCTCTCTCTCTCGCACACACTGGGCGCGCTGAAGGGGTGCGAGAGAGACGGCGACGAACCATTGATCGGAATCAGCCAGCAGCCCTAGCCAGCCACTCGACACGGTAACGCGGTGTGACGCGGGCTGCGTTCGGGGGACGCTCCGTTCGGCTCGGAGCGAGCGAGACCCGAAGGCAACCCGAAGGCAAGCCGAAGGGACGACGGACGGACGCGCTATCATTTATTCCGACGGCTTTGATTGTCGTCAAGTGGGCGTTGTTGGCGGCCCCGTGTGTCCAGCGTGTCCAGCCTGCTGGCCGGATAGCTTTCGTCCCTCCGTGGGGCGTGGGCGAGAGAACCAGGCGGAATGAAACTAAACCTCCAAGAGGCGCGGCGACACCGTCGCGCGGCCGCCCCGTAAAAAGGAACGCGACGCCGCGAAAGCGAGGCGCACAAGTTTTCCACTCGAGAGTTTGCCTCCTCCAGGTCGTGGCGGCGTTCGGTGGAGGGGCCAGGCAGCCCGGCCAGGATGCGAGGCATGCGGGCACTGATTGAAGCGCGGGGACGCAGCAAGGACACGCACTGATCGGGGCGTCCTCAGAAGCAAACTCGTCGTCCTGGGGGCCTGGAGGCAGGCCCGGAGGTCACTCCTCCCCTCCCGGCATTTATTCCATCCCTAGCACTCCAGGAGCACGGGCATCTCCAGGAGGCCGTACCACTGCAGCAGCGACTTGCACATGTAGAGCGCCAGCAGCCCGACGCCGAAGTCGTGGCCCGCGGCCGTCATGGACATGAGCGAGAACGGGGCGCCGGCGGCCTGCGCGCCGCCCAGCCGCCACACCGCGCCCACCACCAGCGCCGCCGTCGCCGACACCACCAGCACCGGCCGCAGCCCTGGGCGCGCGGCCCGGCCGCCCTGCGCGTCGAGTCCTGGAGGAGGATGGGAAGTGCCCGTTCGTAGAATGATAGCCCTCCTGGCAGTGCAGTGCCTCCGTGTCGTGAGAAACTGTCAGCCGGCAGGACTCACCCATTCCGACGCCTGTGCGGGCCTTCCCCGTGGACGTCCTGGTCCTTTCGGAGCACCGACACCGTGAATCCTGCGGATCAGCGATCAGCGTGTTGTTTCCACCTGGCGGCAGACTGATTCCGAGAGTCGTTTCGTCGCCCTGTCTCTCTCGCACCTTCACAGGGCGCCCCATGAGTGCGGGAGAGACGCAGCGACGCAAGCGACTCTCAGTGTGCCAGCGGGGCGAGGCGCGAGGCGCGAGGCGGACGAGGCGGGACAGCCCCGGAGCTATCCGCGCGGTGTATCATTGCTCGCTGGGGAGAAAGCCCGGTCGCAGGAAAGCCGGGCTCGGCCGGGCCAAGCTAGGCGAAGCGCGGTGACCTCTCCGGGCTTTCGCGCAAGCCTCCAGGCAAGCCTCCAGGCAAGCCTCCAGGCAAGCCTCCAGGCTTCCAGACCAATCTCGTCCGGAGCCATCCACGGCGGCATCACTTTCGGATTGATTGCCCGCGAGAGAGAGACAGAGAGAGACGACAAGGCCGGAAGCAGAGCAGAGCGGGGCCTTACTCGAGCAAGCTGGCCAACAACGCCAACAACGACGTCATTCAATCACGCGGCCATTCCATTTCGCTTTTCTGCTTTTCAGCGCGACTGCACCACGGCACTGCGCGGCCGCGTGGTCATTGTTGACAGTAACCAAGACTCCTCCACCGCGAAAAACAAAAAACACATTTCTCATAATACTCTGCATTGTTTTTAGCAGATGATACCTTTGCTATCTTTGCTTTAAAATATACACCTAATACTACGAGACACAAAGGTGTCAGCTAGCTTTTACTCTAGAGTCCAGAAACGAAGTGCGTATCCTAACAACATAGTAGGGGCGGGCTGCCGGGGCGGGATGGTGAGTCTGTCTGGCTGGCTGTGGCCGCGGCGCAGCCTGCGCGGAATTCAACAATGCCGCCCGGTAGGCTCAGCCCCCGGGCGCCGCGACCTCGCGCGGCAAGGACTCAGGCGGGCTTCGGCTCGGCTTGTGTGCGGGGCACAGCTCGTCACCTCGTACCGACTTCGGAGCCACCTCTAAGGCAAGAAATGGCATAAGCGATGGCGCCCAGGAAGCTGACGGAAGAACAGCGGCAGCGTGGAATGAGCCCATACTACCCCGTAGAAGAAAACCAAACGAGTATCATCTGCTTTCATTAACGTTCGTTGAATGAGATTTTTTTAAGTTTATTTCCTTTTTTTTCGGGGGGACGCTCAGCCAAGAGATACATGTCTGATGCACGCGTTTCCCGAGGAGTCGAGAGGCCTCGCTTATTGCGAATTGAGTCTGCCTTCAGCGGGGTGAATTAAATTTTATGAATAAACTTTAGCTACCTCTGCTGCGCGCACACACGCGCGACCAGGTTCGCGAACTTGGCGCGCCTGGCGCCCCTTCTGTAGGTCCCCCTAAGTGAGTGTGTGTGTGTTGTGTGTGTGTGTGGTGTGTGTGTGTGTGTGTGTGTGTGTGTGTGTGTGTGTGTGTGCGCGCGCGAGTGTGCCAGCCGCGCGTGTTTTATACCTCCCCGATGCCGCCCATAAAGGCGACGAAGATGCAGGGGGCTGTGCCCAATGACTCGCACACGCAATCTGCTGTGCATCTACCTAATGCTCGACTTCCCTCTCCACAACATAATGAGACGGATTTTTGCTCATTTCGGTCGTTTTGTCATCCTTCTATGGGATGGAAACACTGTCCGGCTGCAGAATGGCATGGCAAAGACTGACTCCGAAGCGCTGGCTCGTCGCCCTGTCTCTCTCGCACCCCTGCGGAACGGCCCGGGCGTGCGAGAGAGAGAGAGCGACGCTACTCGGAAGCAGCCTGCTGCCAACGCTCCGCGCCAAATTATTCATCGTGAGAGGACGTGATGACTTCCATGCATTATACAGTGAAGGGCCGAGCCTTCGGAGCAGAGCCGCCTGGAGACTGTTCACACAGACCGCAGTGCAGTGCAAATAAAATTTTATTCGGCTAACTTTGCCTCGGAAAAATCATCTCTGGTGAAATTGCGGCCCCTTGGCCGCGAGAATGGTCAGGTAGGACAAGCGGTTTGTTGAAGCGACCCTGCGGGCCCTGCGGGGCGGTACACCAGAAATTTGCACCGCAGAGCGTATCGACTTCTATATTTGTATAGTATGCCAATAAAATATGACACCATGACACCTAACGAGTGACAAACGCACGCGCGCAAGAGAGAGAGGGGGGGGAGCAGAATGCGGCAGAGAAAGACAGACGACCTCCTTCCCTCCCCCTCCCCTGCCCCCACAAAAAAGAAAGAGTGATCGGAACGAAACATTTCCACTTTTACGGAAAGCTAATGCATCCATTTCGACTACTTTTACACCAATTTTACGAGCCGGCGAGTCTGATCAATGAAGTGTGTGCAGGGAGAGGGGGGTGTTGTCTTTTGTTCGGGGGAGGGGAGGGAGGGGGAGGGGTGAGGGTGCTAACCAGCTGCACCTCCGTCAGGTCCACCAGATCTTTGTCCGCGCTGCAGACAGCGAGTAGCTTTCGTCGCTCTGTCTCTCTCGCACCCGGAGGGGGCGCCTCATGAGTGCAGAGAGAGGGAGACGACTCTCGGAATCGGTCCACTGGGGCTGCCTCCGGGAAGGTCGCGGATTTTTTTTTTTTTCGCGGTCCGCGTCGAGGAGGCCGACGGGCGCGACAGGGAAGCACCACCAGCACCACCTCCCTGGCCGACTCGGACGCAGCCCACAGCGTGGTGGTCATGTCTAACGCCTCGGCCTCGCGGTGCTTCGCGGCGCGTTGCCCTTTTTTCCCTTTTATTATTGCGATCGCAGCTTTTTTCTGTTTGTGTATCGCGCCTCTCCCGCAAAAACGGGAAACACGCGGGCATCGCATTCAAATTAATGGGGAGGAATGGGAGCGAGTGCGCCGTCAGTGCGTCAGTTCTCGACAGGCAGCAAGTCTCTGGACGTTACCTTCCGATAATGGAGACCGAAAGTCACAGCCTTGAGCAAGCAGTCAGAAAACGTTTAAAAAACTGTTCTTCGACATTTTGTTAATTTTGAAGTAAATATTTATTACGGTATTAGAGAAAAAGGACTTGAAAAGTCTTTGGATTTAAATTGGTGTCGAAAACAAAATGTGCCAATACACCCCTTTTTATTTCCTTATTTTTTTTTCCTCAGTTAGGACAAGCGCGACGCGCCGGAGTGCCGGAGGCGAGACGCGCAGTAAGCGGTAAATGGCGGTGAAAAGGCCGGCATTTCGGGAAAATCGAATTCAGATCGCATTAATGTGCTTTGCCGTTCCATTCCTTTCGCATTGCATTGTATGGCGCAAACGCGGCGAAATATGTGTCGCTGACACTAATAACAGCTCAGCGCGCGCCGCGCCGCCGCGCCCCGTCCTTCCATTTATCTCCATCTCTCTCCCACTCACCGCAAGGGGGGCGAAAAAAAAAGCGGCCAGTGTTCGAACCCGGGCGCTGCTCTCCCCTTTTCGCCTGCGTTTCCCCCAAATGAGCTTTGCCCGGGCTGAGAATGAGTCGGTTGAATGAATGGTCGAGGTATCGCAGCACCTTGCAAAAACCAACAGTTTCTCCCCAAAAAGCTGCCGGCTCCCCCGCCGTCCCGCCATCATCAGTCCCGCTGGGGTCGTGATCTCGTCAGCTTAGAGTCAACTCTTTGTCGGGCGGTCATTAGCGCGCGCGTGCGTGCCGCGTGTGCGACACGGCGGTCGCCCTGTCCACTCTGTCTCTCTCGCACCCCTGTGCAACGCCCCTGGAGTGCGAGAGAGACAGAGCGCCGCGACCACCGTTCGGCATCAGCCTGCAGCTCGGCACGGCCAGGCACGGCGCAGCGCGAAGCTGGAAGCGCAGCGCTCCGGACTCCGGATCGGGCTGCAATATTCATCGATTAATTGCAGCGAGCGCAGAGCGCACACCGGCTGTCCGTGTCCGTCTTGATTTGGGTCCGGACAGACATCCAGAGCGGCGAGGAGGCGAGGCGGGCTGCCTACCTGCACGGCGCCTGCCTCGGCCTGCCTCGGCCACGCCACTGCCATGGCGCCATCTGGCGTAGGGTGCCAGAACCAGCAGCACAGTGTAGACGCGTCGATACCCCCTCGCTCCAAGACACTGGGGTAGTGGGGTATCTCCAGGTATCTTCTTCAAGGTTGCGCGAAGGTGTAAGACGGACGTCCCAAGTAATGGATTACAGGAAAAAAACTCATTGCATACTTTCAATTGTATTCCATAAAAAGTACAATGACAATTCACAATTTAGATAAATATTTGAAAATATTCTGAGATGATAGTATTTCATAAAACCATCTCTCTTTATATACATTTCATTTTCTAACAAATGGTGCGGTATCCCTCAGTTAACAGTACATATTTCAATTCAATGCTGTATGTCCATTTGACAGAGGAACAGGGAAAACAGTAAGGAAAATACTGACCAACAGTTGCCAAGGGTAACATACCACGTAACTCCAACTGCGCATTTTAAATAAATGCAATCAAGCTACAAGAAATATGAGACAACATAAACTACAGTTCAACAACTTTGTTACTGAACATTCACCCACACATATCGTCAGATCCACAGGACAAACAGAGCCATTTTATCAAGGAATCTTTTGCTGTTGATCTTTCACTCAACTTACAGAAAACAGAATTAAAGCTATGTATATATATTATACTTGCTATAAATCAATAATAAAGATGCTAAATAAAGCTTGAGCACCATACGAACAATTAAGTTCTGTCATAAAAGATTGAACTTAAAAAATAGCTCTTAGTGAGTAAGGCCATTGAATTACTTGCAGAATACAGGGCCAGACGATATCCATGAATAAACAAGAGAGCAATACTCCTGTGGTGAAAGTGCACATGATCCCATGCTATGCTCCAACTAAAAAGCTTCTCGAGATTTCAAAAACACTGGCACACAAATAGTTATTTCTGCCACATGACATCAGCAAATCCTGCACTAAAATGGCTTTTTTGAATTAGCGTGTTTTAGAAATAGCTAAGAGCACTGCCTCAACTAAGAATGAAGTGTTGTGGCGGTTTCCAGCCAAACCAACAAGTTTAAGTATACCCGCTATTAAGAATATTTCAGACCAAAAAAAGAAAACGAAGCAGAGGACTCATTGAATCAAAATGACTTTGCACACTACTAGAAACTTGCTTTTACTATGTAAGGCTTCATGCATAAATTTATAGGACGTACATGAATGACAGAAAAAAAAAGGAACTACCGAAATCCAGAGCAAAATTATTCTAATTTGATAGCTCAATCAACTTTCAATTCAAATTTACAAACAGGATTAAATTTATTCAGGCACAGAGCCACACATACAAGACTTACACTAAACACAAATAGCTAATAAATTCTACACTTAATAAATGCATTTTACTCATGGGTCCAAATGTCCACTTGAAATATAACGACCAGCCAGTACCAAACAAAGGATAAAAATTTCATTGTAAACTAGAGACCATCACTTAAAATAAATCTAACAACAATGCAGTGATATCACTTGACTAAGAGTAACATATGGACTGACAGGATAGAGAACTGACCAACAAAAATGTGAAGTGACACACAAAGAGAAGAACTGGTCTTGCAGAGTTTTAATTATCTGACAAAATATATGCAAACTTCAGTGAACTACAACCCTGTAGTAAACAACAAACCAATTAGTTTCATAATCCTGATTCTACAATTGGACACATTTTTACAGCAGAACAAGTCTTCACAAGAAGGCATAAAATATAAAAGACATACATTTAACTAAAACTTTTGGAGATAATTTCATATTACTTAGAACATCACAGTAAAAGGGGATGAATTCAAAGATCAAAACAAATGAATGTAAAATGAGCTACAGTAGACAATGTTTACAACATTGTGATATTGAATTACGTATAGAACTATCTTTTCATTCACATTGATTGGCATAAAGTCTTCGCTTAGTGGTTATTCTTCCTGGTGTATACCAATGCTGACCAGACTGCGAAATATCTAAGCCATAAAGATGGTGCCACAATGCTCGGAGCAAATCCTTTCAAGAAAACATTTCTGAGGATTTAATGTTATGACTTAAAATAAGAATCATCCTCTCCAAATTCAGCTTAAATTTAGGAGATTCTTTCTGTTTCATAACCCACCAATTAGATGGTTAGCAAAGAAAACAAGTAACAAATGTCAGCCGGCAACATTTAAGACTTAACAACTTATAAACTTTGATAGACATTGCCACACAGAACGTCTAGTAAGGCAAACAAAAGGCATGTTTTAGTCTAATATCTAAGGAAGATAAAAGAAATTCATATCAAGGTAACAAATGCAACATGCTTTAACCAACACTACCTATGCCATCAGTACGGGTCATCTCTATAATGAAAAGTGGCTGTACAAATGTACATGCAAAAGCACTTATAAACAGGCAGACTTATGTGTTCCGAATCTTCCCAGGGACATAATTCTTGTCAATAACAGGCTCTTGAAGGAACATATGTAGGCATCGCTCATTTTGTGCAAGGGGATGACCAGCAATCCTGCAAAAGAACAGCCGTAAATAAAGTTGTCTGACTAACAGTTGAGTGACAATAGATGCTGTTCCAAAATTTTACTTACTTATTAACAAACATTTCGAGTCCTTTTCTACGATCTTCAATGAAATCCTCTTCAAAGAGACCATCATCACCACGGAACGGCATTTGCCTCTTCCAGGCTTTCCCAGGTAATGCAGGTACCACAATCTGGAAAGCAAGAGAGAAATAATTAAAGACCTTTTGAATGAGACATTCCTATTAAATAATTCAGAAAGAAAGAAACAACTGGACCAATGATTACCTTGCTGTCTCTTTCTAGTTCTGTTCTAAGCCATTCGAAATCACTGTATCTTCTGCGCACACTTGACTCCTTAACTTTGAATACAGGTAAGTTGGTCTGCAACAGAACAATTGGAAAAGTCAGATCACAAAGAGAGAAATTTATCACCACTGTGACTGCTGCCATTGCAATGACTCATGCTATACCAAATAAACCGCCTGACTACTTGTTGCAAAAGTCGCTGGTCCTGACATTTCGAGTTCATTGTTCGAAGGGAAAACTACCAGCAGGAGGGCTACTTCCAAAACAGTTAGGAAAATAAGAACAAGTACCAAGTACCGACAGGGGGAAAAATGACAGCCCGGTTCCCTTCCTGGTACCCATAACCTATACGAGATACGCCCGATTATCAATGGCCACGAAAGCTTGCCTCAGGCGCAGCCAAACCACGCAACCTTACACACCAAACGCTTTTCGAACGAAAAACGAAGAAAGGGCGATAACGCGAGATTAGCATGAGCTCAAAGAGACGATCAACAGCTTTGGCGTCAAACTGATCCACCCCCTTTGCGCAACATCGGGCGAGCAAAACACCGAGAAAGACAACCGTCAAAGGCGAATCAGAGAAAAGAGGAATGTGCGCAGGGACTACGCAGAACGCCCACAGAACGGTGAACATGCCTCAAAGATGAAATAAGGCATCGTGAGAGAAACACAATACATACCCGCATTCTAACTTCGTAGTCGGAGTAACGCTTCTTGCCCACTCCGTGAGTTATTGGATTTATCACGTCAATTTCCAAAAAGTTGGCTGGAGCGGCGTAAGCGTCGTCCAAAGTCTGCTTTTTGACGTTCAGTCGACGAGTAGCGTCTGCCGTGGAGTCTGCCATGATTGCGGGTTTGACGTGAATCAACTTCTGTCAATGTCGTCCGTTCACGAAATGTTCACGAGCGAAGAGCAGCGCGACTGACGACGGGCCTTGACTGTGACTGTACTGGTTGGAGCGGAGGGGTGGGGGAAACGCCGACTCGGCGTGAAATGTCAAATCCTTGTGAGAACTTCAAATACTTTTGAAACGCTTCACAGGGGAAAGCCCAGCCATGGAACATATACTTCGTTCAAAACAGAGAGAAGAAGCGAGAACATTAAACTGTTCTCTTGAAGAATGCTTAAAAACAGCGGTTCCTAGCGCTAACGTCATACCCGTGGTATGAAAAGTTGCTACACTGACAACACCAACCCTTTCCATTTATTTCTGAACTTTCATGATCAATTTGGTCTGTACGGGTGGCAAATTGTGGGTGACCCAACGATAAGGCAGGTTTGAAAAGAAAAAATAGTCCACCAAGTTCCTGTAGTCCGCACAGGCCGGTGTACAAAATGAGGGTTTTCGTATCTTTGGTGCTTTAGGTTGGCAACATAATTCCCAGCCAGAGCCGTGGCGCGGATTTCGAACGGCTGCCTCTCGCTGTTGCTGAAATCCTATCGCGTATTAAATGTATTTGTTGACAGCTCATTAAATCGGAATAAATATTGGGTCGCCAAAAGAAAAACGAGAACAATAAGGTATTGATGAATGGATTCGGTCGATTGATGAGAGACTGCGGCAGCCCGTTCCACGCCGGCGTTGGTTGGGTTGCCTACCCAGTGGGCGTTCCGGTCGGGGAGTTCCAGCAGCCCCCTCCGCGGCACATGACGCAGACGACGCTGACGGCAACGCTTGGCTCGCGGCTGTCGGGACTTTCGTTGGCCGGGCCACAGCGATAGGCCTCAGCATTGACACGGGGTGCGCGAGGTCGCGGCTGCTACCTCTTCGGCAGGCACGTGCCACGTACGCGTCGCGTCGCGGGCCCTTGCAGTGTCCCTGCGGCCCGGTCGGCCAGGCCGGCCAGGCTGGCCACAGCGGGCGCGTGACGCGAGGCGCTTGCCAACGGACAAGGACGCCGAAGCTCGGCGATTCCCAAGCCGCCTTAGCGCGGTTGTGTTGGCAGCACTAGCCGGGTTACCTCAACTAGACGGACACATTGGAACAGGACTCGGGTCCTGGTGTTGCGAATGTTGGCAAAGCCATGCAGGTGTTTTCGTACAAAAATGGAAAAAAGTGGCGAAATTTAATTTCAATTTCCGGTGGGATTTATTGCAGGGATAAATTACAGGAATAAATTATAATAAATTACAGCGGGGGATAAATTAGAGGCGGACCGTCTGCCCGGTCGCATCGTCGGCGTTCAGACTTGGCGCTGAACGCGGACGAGCGGCGCCGAGTAGGAGAAGACGGGCCCGGTGACGGGGGGCACCTCCATGAAGCGCAGCTCGGCCACGAAGCTGGCGGGCACCTCCTGCTGCTGGGGCTGCTGGGGCTGCTGGGCCCGCTGGGGCTGCGGCAGCAGCACCACGGGGCGCTGCTGCACCTTCTCGGGCTGGGGGCGGGCCTGGCTGCCTTGGCGCTGCCCGGACTGGGGGCGGCCGGCGGGCCTGCTGGGGACGGGGCGGTTCGGCCGGGGGGGGCGGCGGCGGCCTCCTCGGCGTTGTCCTCGTCGTCGGCGTCCTGGCCGTCCTGGCGCTCCTCAGCCTGCACCTTGGCGGCGAACTGCACCTCCTGCAAGCGGCCGTCGGGCAGCACCACGAAGTACTGGGCCTGCTGCGGCGCGGCGGCCTGTTGTTGTTGTTGTTGTCTGCTGCTGCTGCTGCTGCTGCTCCACGGAGGCGGCGAACTGGACTCGCTGCAGGCGTCCGTCGGGCAGGATGACGTAGTACTCGCCCTGGTACTGCGGGGCCGCCTGCTGCCTCTGCGACTTGGGGGTCTTGGGCGTGACGGGCACGGCGGGGGCGGGCTCCTCGGTGGGGGTCTCGGTGGTGGCGTCGGCCTCCTCGTCCCTGGCGTCCCTGGCCGGCGTGCCGTACTGCTTGGGCAGCTCCAGGCGGGCCCCGGCAGGCTTCCACCCGGACGGCGCGTACCCTTCGTCGGCGTCCTGGCCGTCCTGCTGCTGGGCCTGCTGCGCCTGCTGGCGGCGGAACGCCGGCTCGGCCACCACGGCGCCGATCGCCAGAATGGTCAAGAGAAGGACCTGATTGCATTCAAGGGAGATTTAGTGAAACTGGTTGACACCTAATTTCATTTGCTTTTTTGCGAACCCTACCTTCATGCTGCTGTTTGTTTGGTGTCCTAAGATGGCGATGCTGCTCGTTCGCTGGCTGACGTGAGTCTGTCTGGACATCCGGGCCCTGATGCTTTTATACAGCCGCCGGTCCTCCCGCCTGCTTCCTCACCGTGCTGATGGTTGGGGGTGGGGCGACGGAAGAGTTCCTGGAGGTAACGCACTTCAGCACGTTGACCGAGTGCCGCGCCGCTGCTGGCCGCTGGGCCGCCGCGCCCCACGGCAGTGGAGGCCGCTAAGGCCGAACGTGCGCGGCCTGCATCAGGCCCTCTGCAGTCTGCACCAAGTCTCTGCATCGGCCAACGGGCTGGGTAGGGCTGGGGCGTCAACAAGGGCCCGCCACAAGGCAACGTAACCGTGCCTTTGCAACTCTTTCCCCGTATGGCCCATGCCCCTAACCCACCACCAACATTGAGGGAAGTCCACATCACCATAAGGAACTAAGACGGAACTCTATTCGACTGCCGGAGGGAAGTCCGGCTGCCAAAATATTAGGATTCCAGGACTGCGCGACCTGGGGCCTGGGCCTAGGGGACAGAGCCCGACGCGCGGTGGGGGTTGTCCCTGGAAATATGACGAGTCGTCAAAACAACAACACGGTGCGAGCTGGTCAGCAAGCTCGGCCTCCCCGTCTGGACGCCAAGCGCGTAGTGCTGCTGCAGAATACGAGATTGGTGTGCGTATTCGCCCGATCCGTTCGGACACGTCTTTTCCAGGGCGGCTCGTTTGCTGGCGCTTGGCCACGGCCTGGCCTGCCTGGCCTCTGTGACCATGCCGTGGCCGGGGCGGTACTCCTGTGTGAGTCATGAGCCGGTGCATGCGCGAGGCGGCGCGGTGGCGGCGGCGGCGTGGTTCGGGGCGGCCAGGGGCCGGCACGGCGGCGGCCGCAGACACCCACAAGGCTCCGGTCAATGTCACCGACGACGACGTCTCCTTCCTTCATCTCCCACCGACAGCACCCCCCAGTGGTTGGTCAGTATAAAGCCTCCGGACGTCCGGTGTCCGTCACAGTTGCGCCATCGCCGCCACAGCAATCACAAGCCGAAACATGAGATCCATCAACGCAGTAAGTCGAGGGGTGCGACAGCTGCCTCCCTGGTAGGACAAACTCACAGCTCTTCTTCTTGCAGGCCGTCATCCTCGTGCTGGCGATCGGCGCCGTGGTGGCCGAGCCGGCGTTCCGCCGCCAGCAGGCGCAGCAGGCCCAGCAGCAGGACGGCCAGGACGCCGACGAAGGGTACGCGCCGTCCGGGTGGAAGCCTGCCGGGGCCCGCCTGGAGCTGCCCAAGCAGTACGGCACGCCGGCCAGGGACGCCAGGGACGAGGAGGCCGACGCCACCACCGAGACCCCCACCGAGGAGCCCGCCCCCGCCGTGCCCGTCACGCCCAAGACCCCCAAGTCGCAGAGGCAGCAGGCGGCCCCGCAGTACCAGGGCGAGTACTACGTCATCCTGCCCGACGGCCGCCTGCAGCGAGTCCAGTTCGCCGCCTCCGTGGAGCAGCAGCAGCAGCAGCAGCAGAAACAAACAACAACAACAGGCCGCCGCGCCGCAGCAGGCCCAGTACTTCGTGGTGCTGCCCGACGGCCGCTTGCAGGAGGTGCAGTTCGCCGCCAAGGTGCAGGCCGAGGAGCGCCAGGACGGCCAGGACGCCGACGACGAGGAGAACGCCGAGGAGGCCGCCGCCGCCCCCGCCGCCCGGCCGAACCGCCCCGTCCCCAGCAGGCCCGCCGGCCGCCCCCAGTCCGGGCAGCGCCAAGGCAGCCAGGCCCGCCCCCAGCCCGAGAAGGTGCAGCAGCGCCCCGTGGTGCTGCTGCCGCAGCCCCAGCAGCAGGAGGTGCCCGCCAGCTTCGTGGCCGAGCTGCGCTTCATGGAGGTGCCCCCCGTCACCGGGCCCGTCTTCTCCTACTCGGCGCCGCTCGTCCGCGTTCAGCGCGAGGCCTGAAGAAGTTCCCAACCATTCTTTACTATATTTATTGATGAATAAATTTACCTCTCGTATCGAGACAAGAAGGACAACAACACTCTTTTGTCATTCCCCCAATTTTGTGTCCGAGAAGTGGATTTACGATGCACATTCACTTTCACTTCGCCACGGCCACCCACCCCGTTGCTGTCGCGGCCATGCCGTGGACTTCCATGCCAGGATATGGACGTCAATAACGGCATGCCGACACGACGTCACCGCGGTGCGCGCACCGCCTGGGCGCCGTGCATGCGCTGCCTTGGGGGCGTGGGGCGTTACGAAGTCGAGACAGTCAGTTTCTGCCTTCAAACCGAACCGTGTGCTCACAAAATTTGCTAATGTTTGCGGGAGGAAAGCCGTCTGGCCACAGTCTGGGCCCACTGACCTGGTGTGCCTCCCGAACAAACAGGCAAGACGCGCGCTGTTGATGGAACCGTCGCATTTCGGGCCTGGCATGGGAGGCTCATGCTTGACTCCCACTACTGCAGTATTGGCGCGTTAAAGCCACTATTTTTCTTGAAAAAAAAAAAAGAAGGACCCAGGTGCCCTTCTTCCGCCCCCCCCCCCCTTCTTTTTTCGCTGCGTGCTGCGTGCACCGAGTCATGCGGTGGCCATCCCCCGGGGAAGTCCCGCTGGGTCCTTTCGACGATTGATATGCACGCCACGGATGGCGGATCAAACTCGGAAGGGCAGCGAAGGTTGCAGACGCCTTCTGTCTCCCCTGGACTAAGAACTCAGATGCGTCAGCGGGGGAAAAAAAACGGCCACCAGAAAGTGAACTTGTAGCGAAGCAGGAAATTTGCTGCCCGCGGAATGGGTTGCTTCGGGTTCTGTCGTGTAGGGGTAGGTCCTAAACCTTGACACCCCCACCCCGACGGCGTTTAAAACCACAGTTTGGAGCCGTCCACCGAAATTGGCTTGGATTGCTTGAGGGGCACGGGAGTCACGGGGACAGTGGAGTGACATCGCCGTCGCCTTCACCCCTACCTTGCCGCCAGCCCCGCCAGCCCGCCCTACCACTCTGCGACCGCGCCCCGCCCCGCCACGCGGCGGGTACAAAAGCGAAGGGGCGCCCCCCGTTCGGCAGACTCGCTGTCCAGCGGTTCGCCAGTGACGACGTGACGACCTCCCCAGGCTCGGATTACACCATGAAGCAGGTGAGTTTGTGAACCACGAGTTGTAGAGGCCCTCGATACTTTCGACCAGAGAGCGAATCGAAAACAGCTATAGTAAGCGCGCATGGAAAATGCCATTCATTGGCATTTATTGCTCAATCCATTTTCCAACTGTTGGTCGGTGTCGTCGACGCTTCCCCCGCGAACTTTGCGAATTTGCTAGCCCCCCTTTCCCCTTGCGACTGGCCTTTCCCTTTCGCGAGGCTACGTCGATGCCGTGCGGCTGCTTCCCCACGCACGTGCGCGGACGACCCAACAAGGTCCGTCCCATAACGTCTGCCTTTCATTTTCGGCGACGATTGGAGGGGAGGGGGCGGGCACGTCTGGAATATTATGACGCGGCGCTGCTCGGTAGCCAAGAGTGACAACACACGCCCGCACTGACCGACTGCCCTACCTAGGCCTCCGCCTCCGCGGGTTCGAATCCACACAGCGCATCTCTTTTTCGTTGCAGTTCGTGCAGGTCGCGCTGGTGTGCGGCGTCCTGGCCGCGGCCACGGCGGACAAGAGGCCGTTCCAGAGGGGGCAGGGCTTCGCCCCGTTCGCCTTCCAGCGACAGACGGAGGGCACGGAGGACCTCTCACCGCCGGCTCCGGGGGCTCCGGGGCCCGCGGCGCCGGGAGGGGCGCCCGCGCCCGGAAACTACAACCCGGGCGGCGACGACGCGGGGGGACCGTACCCACCGTCCGGACAGCCGGAGAGCGGGCCGTACCCGCCGTCGGGGTGGAAGCCTCAAGGACAGCGGCTGGAACTGCCAGCACGCCAGCAGAAGGTAGGCAGTGCGAACGACGCGAGGGATGGCTCCATTCAGCTCAACGTGCACCTTTCTTAAAAATGCGAATTGATGTTTCAGCCTCCTCAGAACAGTTACGGCGCGCCCCCGAAGCAGCCCCAGCAGCAGTACGGCGCCCCCCCGAAGCAACCCCAGCAGCAGTACGGCGCGCCCCCGAAGCAGCCCCAGCAGCAGTACGGTGCGCCCCAGGCCCCCGCGGAGCCAGAGTCCCCGAGCGCGCCGGCCGCGGAGCCCGCGACGGAGTCCCCGGACGTGGTGGCCAGCAACCGCCTGAGGAACCAGCTGCGGCAGCAACGCGTCATCCTGCAGCGCATGCGCCAGGTGGTCCGCGACCAGCAGGCACAGCTGCAGCAGCAGCGGCAAGAGCAGCAGGCGCTTCTCGAGCAGCTCCAGCAGCTGCGGCAGCAGAACGGGGAGCAGGCCGCGCAGGGCCAGTACGTGGTGAACCTGCCGGACGGACGCGTGCAGCGGGTGCAGTACGCCAACACGCCCTCGTCCACCTCCGTCTTCAAGCAGGTGATGTACATGCAGTGGCCCGGGCACCGTGTTGACCGACACAACACGTTTCAATAACACTTTCCACTTGCAGAACGTGCAGCAGACGGAGGCTGCCCAGGCCGAGGCCGCCGCCGGGCGGAATGCCCAGGGCTTCCCGTCCGACCCTCCGACCTACGTCGCGAGGCTGCAGTTCATGGACGTGCCCCCCATCGAAGCCCCCGTCTTCTCCTACTCTGGATCCGCCCCTCTCGTTCAAGTCGCCTAAAGACGCACCTGTGGAGCGCCTTACTGAATAGGACTGAATAAACCGAGGCTTGTTAGCTATCTTGAGTCATTTTCTATGTTTTTATTACATGCACACGAAAGGATGAGATCACAGACAAAAATACTACAAACTACGTAGTCTTCTAGAAAACACATATAGTACAGAACCATAACTTATTTCTACTCACTTTCTACATAAAAAGGAACATATTAGATCCTTTCCATAATTGAAACATTATTATTTTTTACCGTAATTAAAGGGAAAGACAGCACGGTAAATCAATTCAATTCATTCATTTTAGCTGCACCTATTCCCTATGCCGGAACTTGTTAACATTGTTTTCCTCCTGTGATGTTCCTAGCTGATAACAAAGCTGTCAACATTTTAAAAATACTACAGATTTTACTATAAAATCAAATGTGACAGACATTTAAATACTTAAAAAAATATCAAAGAAACCAAAAATTGTAGAAGAATTACTCAAAGACTAAATTTAACATGTAAAATGGCAAGCAAGGATACGAAAGTCATAGAATCTTGCTTATGAAACAGGAAGATTTCACTTTTCAAACAGCACCTGCTGGATTCTGTCTGCACTTTTTCCCTCCCAAAAACATTCCTTAAAAATACTCATAAACAATTATTTATTAGAAGGACTTACCGATAGGCAAAATTATTTAGGAAAGTTTCACAGGTACTCTGGACATAAATAAAAGGTAAAAGAGAACAGCCTAAGATAAAAACAGGCAGGGCTAAGAATCATTTGTTGTTTTGTTTTTTTTAGTTTTCAGTACTAGGACTCTGTCCAAGAAAACATTGCTTGAGTTTTTGATTTCCGTCACAATTTGGAATGAATGTTACACACTGATACATAAAATAACAAAATGCCTTTCACAGACCACCACAAAAGAATACAAATGAAACACGTTGATCACACAAAGTTTCAGTAAATATACTGCAACACTATTGGAGTAATAAGTGCAGTTAGAAGCAGGACTGTTCCACAAAAAGAGGTGCATAGAGAGATGGCTAATCGTTTGCTGTTATCTTTAACACGCGATCCCAAGAAAAGATCACAAAGGGTAGAGGCAATATATTGACCATCAAAGAAAAATGCTGGAAGCACATTTACGACAGCAAGCCCAGATGACATCATACACACATACTTCAATAAATTTTCAAGGAATTGAGGGATGTAAGGGTCATATATATTCCACTTTGGGACATAATCTACCACTTGCACGGTGCTGTAAATTTCTGTTGGATTACCAAGGAAAAGAACAACCTGTGAATGAAAACAAAGATATATAAATAAAACTAGAATCCAGATAGAGGGAATATCCAGACACTGATTGAACATTCTGAGAATACTACATTACCTCGCCTTTGACTCGATTGATGGCTAAGAGCTTTGTGTTATTTACAACGGAGGGACGCAAACAGTGAAGTTGTGATGAACAGTAATTAGGGGACTGATTTGCACAGTATCCAATATTTTCTTTGACGAGCTTCCTTGCCAAGAGGCAAGAGTATTCTGGAAGAGCCACAGGACCACCGGAATCATCGACCAGTTGGAAGCACAAGCGACCCTCTTTGCAGGCTTGAGGTGGGCAACAGGCAACAGCTCCTTCAACAGTAGGATGATCTGAAATTTTGATTAATTAAAAATATTCAAAATGTTATTTTAGAATGCATATTAATTGGAATGAATCTAAACATTTTTATGTAACTCACCAGGGGCAGATTCATCATTCTCACGCACAAATTCAGCTGAAATACAATAGCCTGGTGTGGGATATCGGTGAGCATCTGCAATGCATTTCTTCCATGCTGATTTACGAGCAACAGAGCACTGGTTTATACTTGTTACCACATCACCCTCGAGCAGCCCACTGGGTCCAGTGGCGGGTGAATCCTAATTCAAAATAGAAAATGCTCTTATCTAACATGGTACATATGACAACATGAACTGTTTCAAAGATGCTAGGATCTCAATCTAGATACTTACAGGACTGATACTCATCACGTAAACGCCCTCCCCTGTGGTGTAGAATGGCTGAGTCAAAATTGGTAAGCTAAATACGATAATTGCAGCATAAACAGCTAAAAGTAAATTATGCCACACGCCAGCACACAGAATACGAAGTCTTCTCATTGGTGGAAGGGAACCCAAACGATCAGAATCCAGGTTTACACAGGCTGCTGGAAATATAAATACGAGCAGAAAGCCTGTGCCATAAATATGCACATCTTCCCTGTGAAACAATAAAGGAAATTAATTAGAGAAGTGAAATGCGTAGGAAATGCAGACGGTCACACGGATTGACACATTTTTTACCTCACAGCAGCAACTGCATGACCAATTTCATGCACAACAGTGCAAAGAAGCATTGATATAGAGTAGTACCCAAGATCACTGAGAGGCAAATTATATCCTGGGATCTGAAAAAGAAGAAAGAAGTTCAGCAATAATTTTACCAGTCAACAAATACAAATGAAAATTGTAGGATTTGAGAGTCTTACCACAAGCTCCAAAGAAGCTGCATCAGTTGTAGGTTCGGAAGTACCCCTTTGGCTAATTGTAAGAATGAGAGATCTGATAAGCAGCGTGAGAGAAATAGGAAGAAGTAATAGGGATACATATGTGCCTGCTGTAAACCACAATTTAAGAAAACGAGGTCTCCAAATTCCCCACTTCTGAAGGGGACGATTAAAAATGGTAGTGGAGCATTTTATAGTTAAAAAGCTTATTTCAATGCCACTTTTCTTCAGGAATTTGAAATATGGGTAGAGGCAACATGACTGCAAAAGAAAGACAATGTTATTAGAAAAGAGGCTACATGTACATGTACATGTTTGATGGAAAAATTTATTTGTTTTATCAGGTCTGATCACGACAACACGTACGGTCATGTTGAGCAATTGATTAAGAAAAGTAACAGCCTGGGTAAAGGAAGATAATAATAATTCGACTCACCTTGAAAACTACATTAAAAAACAAAATTGCACAGTGAATGAACAGTGCAATGCAAAGCATTGTCACAGCGTCACCCATCTTCCTCAAAAGGTTAGGAATAGGCTTTATGAAATTGTGTCACTTATCGCTCTTGAGCAAAGGAAAAACTCTTGTTAGCACACTTGGACGAAGAAAAAACAAATTATGTTGAAGTCGAATAGCATGAAGGCATACAAAATTCTGTGCCGATTAATTTTAGCTGCTACCACTCAATCATTATTTTCAAACAACACTGTCGCTCAAGAAATTTCTCATACTAGCAGACGTCCTTCCAGCAGACGACTTGTCACGGGCAGAGATTTGCGCCAAAAGAAAAAAAAATGGGGCACGCGTTATAACTAAAAATATATACCGTACATTACAAAGGAGGCGCAATGTTGGATCGAATAAAATACTGAATCCTTAAAACTACGGGAAACGCAGCAAGAGAAACTTTCCCGCCGTCACACACGGCCTTGTGGAAACCATTATTCACAGTCTCCCGCGAACGGGAGCAGCGCGCTTTTTTGAGTAAGGCGGTGTCACCAACGGGCGAAGGGCTTTAAAGTCCAAAAAAACTGTCACATGGGAACCGCCGTGATTCGCTCGGCCGTCACGTCGCACGTAATACATGCACGGGAAGAGTTTCACTACGAGAGCGACTACACTGTGAGCGAAGACTCCGACAGCCACCTGTACACGCCGCCAATGGTGAGTGAAATGCCGAATTTGTCCCAGTGGTTATGTAAACACGACGTGCGTGGGTGGGGGTGGAGGGGGGTGCTCGATCGGTGACCAGTATTGGCCGGTAGGACGTAGCACCTGAGTCATTATCTGGCTCCTCTGTGTTTACGTTTTATCAGGACTCGCCGGCTGGCGGCGTGTCCGCCTCGTCGTCGCACTGGTAATCTGGCGCGCCTCGCTCCGTCCGCGGCCAGCGCGGCTCCTCGTGGTGCCGGCCGAGACCACGTCCGCGGCGGCCCGGTGGCTGCCTGCAGGGAAGTCCCACCGGCCTGGACTTTATCGCGTTGGCGCGCCTGGCGGGCGGAGCTTCAAATCACTTCAAATCACTTCAAATCGGGGCTTGAGAAGGACTCTCGAATGAATGAGTCACTGGGCTGCGCGGCCGTGGGGGGGCCGGGCCACTCAAGCGGATCCATGTCACTGGATTCTGGCGAACTTAATAATCTCAGCGGAGCCCGAGAGGCGCGTGCGCGGGCGTGCGCGGGCTCGAACTTTGCCCACCGCGGCCCAGCCGGGGCAATCCGTCGTCCTGTCTCTCTCGCACCCCTGCGGGCCGCCTCTCGAGTGCGACAGAGACAAAGTGACTCTGCGGACTCCGTCTGCTGCCGGCCCGGCCCGGCCCGGCCGCGGCGCGTGGGGTTGAGGGAACTAAACTAGGCTGATAGTGCATGCGGCGCTCTGCGGGATTGCCATGCGAGTCGCATTGCGTTGCAGTAACCTCGTTTTCGGGTTTTTGAGTTTGCCGTGGGAGTTCCCCCAGACTGGTTGGAGTAGGGATGTAAGAGCAAGTAATATTACCGGTAAAGAATGGTAAATTACGGTAAAATACGGTATGTTACGCAGGCCCCGGTAAAATTGGTATTTTTAGTAATTTTGAAACTATTGTTAATTTTGAAAAAAGCGGTGTCAAATGTGTAGAAATCGTCGTTTGGGCTGACTTTGGGCAGCCACTGCGTCTAATCTAAGGCGGCTAATCGCTCTCCCTCAACGGGTGACTGGTCTTTGGGCCTTCCTTTAGAACACCTTTGTTACGGAGTGCGATTAGCCGCCTTAGTTTGGGAGCGGTATTGCAGCAAAGTTTGTCGAAACAGTATCAAATGTGTAGAAATCGTCGTTTGGGCTGACTTTGGGCAGCCACTGTGTCTGATCTAAGGCGGCTAATCGCTCTCCCTTAACGGGTGGGTGGTCTTTGGGCCTTTCTTTAGAACACCTTTGTTACGGAGTGCGATTAGCCGCCTTAGTTTGGAGCGGTATTGCAGCAAAGTTTGTCGAAACAGTATCAAATGTGTAGAAATCGTCGTTTGGGCTGACTTTGGGCAGCCACTGTGTCTGATCTAAGGCGGCTAATCGCTCTCCCTTAACGGGTGGGTGGTCTTTGGGCCTTCCTTTAGAACACCTTTGTTACGGAGTGCGATTAGCCGCCTTAGTTTGGGAGCGGTATTGCAGCAAAGTTTGTCGAAACAGTATCAAATGTGTAGAAATCGTCGTTTGGGCTGACTTTGGGCAGCCACTGTGTCTGATCTAAGGCGGCTAATCGCTCTCCCTTAACGGGTGGGTGGTCTTTGGGCCTTCCTTTAGAACACCTTTGCTACGGAGTGTGATTAGCCGCCTTAGTTTTGAAGCTGTATCGCAGCAAAGTGGATCAAAACGATAAAATTTTACTTTACCCAAATATACCGTATAATACGGTAAAATACCGTATTTTACCGTTATTTACGTAACTTTGAATTTTACCGGTATTTTTACATCCCTAGGTTGGAGCTCAGTGTTTACTCCTGTAATATCTGCAAAGCCGTTAACTGTGCCTTTTGGGTGGAAAATATTTGCCCGATTCAATCAATCCCGATGATAGCCCCTTCCCTTCCCCCACCCCTCGTATCGGGGTGTCCGCGTGTTCAATGAACTTCCCCTGCCTTCCAATTGGCCCGGCCCTCCCACTAATCAGGGCATTACAGCGATACTGGAATGGCCCGTAAAATGTTGCATTTCGATGGCCGATGATCGAGGAGGCGGGCAAACAAAGACGGGGCTATCGCAGCTTATTTGAGAGGCAAACTCGCACGAGGGGAGGGGGAGAGGGCTTGATCGGCGCTTACGTGAGGCGAGGCAGGCGATCGAAGCCACAGACAATGGCGACGTGACATTCCGCGTGGACCGAGTGTGGACCACCCCCGAACGCCCCCGAACGGGCGAGTGGTTTCGCGTGTGGAGGACAGAGACGGGACGGAGAGAGAGAGAGAAAGTAGGATGCACTGGCACTGCTTGAGGGAAGTCCGCGCGCTTTTAAATCGAATTAGAGTTGGGCGCTATCGCGCCGCGATTGACTACAAATTACTATCAACGACAATAAAACCCCGGCCGGCGACGGCAGCGGAGGGGACGCCCCGAAATAGCTGGCTGGCTGGCGCGGCTGGCGCCGTGGTGCGTCGGCGCGTGTGTTGGCTTGGGTGTGTTGTCGCCTGATCGACTAGTGCGTCACTACTTTGATGACTTCTTGGTTCTCGGTAAGATTGGACCTAGGATGCTGTTGCCGTGGCGTCGGACTCCACAAAGCGGCCCCGAGGGCGAAGGTTTCGCTGGGTGTTGCAGCGCCTCTCCTCGTCCCGGGGGCGTTGTTTTAATGTCTGGCACGAACAGTATCGCCGTGGCAGAGAAAGACACTGCTCGGGCGGAGGGCTCCTCTGCTTTAGACAGCCATGCTGCGACCGGCCTGTCGCCGGGCCGACGGGACGTTCCATGGAAAAAGAATGCGCATTGCTAAATCCCGCTTCGATTCCGAGAAATACCTAAAAAAGCCCAAAAAGAGCAAAGCTTGACGCCTGGCTGACGCTGCTGACGCCTCGCCGGGGCAGACTGCTCCGACCTTCGCACCCACACCGTATAATCTCATATTTACCTTTTGCCTCCAATGCTTCCTCGGCTCGCATTTTCGTGTATTGGTGTCTGCGACGACTCGGCTCGTCACCCCCACGCCGGCCAGACCGGAAGCCATAAGCTCACCGGATGTTTTAGGGAGCACCCTAATCTCGGCATCGCAATCGCCACACTCACGCACACTCACGCAGACGCCCAGATTGGAAAGCGCTGCGTTCGTTTATATCTGCAGAACTCTCCACGGAAAGACCCTGCCGCCTGTCCTTGTCATGCCGAAGTTACTGTCTCCTTTCGTTATTTTGATTAAACGAGTGGCAGTGGTGTTTTCACAGTGCGGTAGCCCAGGCAGTGCGTGCGCAAGGTTGGCAGTGCGTCGGCACTGAGTGACTGCACTAGCCTAAGGCGGCCAATGGCGAAGGGCGGCGCGGGTCAGCGAGTCCGCGCCACTGCAAGGCACTGCACTGCCAGGCAGCGCGGCCAGCAGATAGAGTCTCCGCACTTTCCGTCTATTTGTCAGGCAGCGTGAATGGCCTGGTTGGCGCCCGCCTTCTTCGGGCTTGCTTTACTTGCTTTACTCGGCCCCACGGCCTGACCCTACACTACTACAGGGCAACGCATGCGACGCAAGCAGCCCAAGCGACGCAGCCGCGGCTCGGCCTCACGCGCGGGGGAAGTCCACGAAGAAAGCGCGTCGAGAGTCACAGCGCTGCGATCTGTTTATGCGGCCGAAGCGACGTGGAGTTATGGTGTGGCAGAAGCTGGAGGCCGAGGCCGGAGGGTGGTCACTGCACAGGGTTCCTGGACTTCCAAAACGTCAAGGGCTTCCGCAGAGAGGGGAAACCGCGGCGTGTTTGGCGGGACAAATCGCGGATAGGTCGCTGATTGTGCGTCGTCATGGCATCGCACCTGTCGCGCCCGCACCACACCCTCTCAAGATGGCGGCGAGATAGCCGGGGCCGGCCGGGGCCCACCGAGGGAGGGTGCGGGTACACTGGGCCACAGCGAGCGGGCGACGCCGAGCACGTCACCAATAGGAGGGCCTTTGGGGGCTCGGCTCTGCCATGGCTACGCGGCGGGGCGGGGCGGGGCGGGGCGTGAGGCCGGCGATGATGAGGAAGCTGCAGCCCGGCGTGGCGGCCACGCCAGGGCCCCGCCAGGGCCTCGCCGTGTCCGCAGTGATAAGGTGGCCACGCCGGGCGGCCGCCACGCCCGCCTACAGGGATGCAGACGCCACAGCCGCAGGGCTGGGAGGGCACGGCCGGCACGGGCCGCACCATCGCCACGACGGCCACGACGACGCAGTGGCAGTGCGGCGTGGATCTCGGCGGCGTGCAAACCAACACCGCGACCACGGACGCTCCGCGAGGACTCGGCCCACTCGGCCGCGACGCGCGCGCCAACCAGCAGCACGACGACCAGCAGGAGCCCCCTGGCGAGCCGCGAGCACCGCGCACCCCGCGAGCCCGGCGCAACCTGGCGTGCGACGACGACGTGTCCTCCGAGTCCCACGACGCGCCGCCGCCGCGGCGCCGCACTGGGCACGTCCCCGTCGTGGCGCCCTCCGCGTCCACGGCCAGCTTGCCGTGCGTGCCCGTGTGCGTGGTGAGCCGCGACCGGCCCGTGCTCCAGTGCTTCTCGGCCTGCGACGGCGTGTGCTGCCGCCCCAGGGCCACCCCCGTCAACC